AGGGCAGTATCAGTTGGAATGCATTCATGAGTTTGGGTTTGGTGTTAGGCATAAGGGATAAGCTTATGCAGGGTCTATGATTTTTTATGTACATTATATGGGCAAACGCACTTGATGTACATGTTTGCATGCAGGGATAACTGCGTTTCTGTTAAGTGCACTACAACGTGAACAATGCATATCTTCTCACTGACACTTTAAACGTCAACGCAGTACAAGCAAAAAGGAGAATTGCACAATGCCTGCGCTTAAAATGATCAACTGCGTACTTAAGGGGAGGACCAAAATTATATATCCGTAATGCCAGCTGGGTTTCCCTGTAACAACACGCCTGCTCTTAATGGGCTCGGCCTAATTATGCAGCATAAACTACAGGCCACTGCCACGCATGTGCGTACACCTGTATTGTATTCGGGCCTCCAGAACAGACCATACAACATCACGGCGCAATGCCCGATCCACAAAGAATACAATTTTATATAGCGTCATGCAATTGCATCCCATAACGCTGCACGGAGACATCGCAGCCACCCACTCCACTGCTGCTGACGCGGTTATCTGGCTTAACCACTTGAATGAAATTAGTCGTTGCTCTGCATCTACATCAGTATCCATACGAAAGCACAAAGGCCTCCACGTTCCAGAGTGAGTCATTTCTCACCCTCACGAATAAGTCCCTTGTTACGGTGTGAAGTGTCTGTATATTCGGTACGTAATGTACTGTTATAAAGTAGGGTTGCAATGTGCTAAAAGAAACCCGACTACCTGCTGAAGCATGGATTGTTAAGTGCAACGAAGCGTTGGGGAGCTGCATGCCAGGGCATTACACCGACACAAAGGGAACGTGGATTAGAGGTTCATGACGATTCCAAATCAGGGAAAGTAACCCACAGTAAAAAATTGATTTAAAGCTTTCGTGACTGCAGGGATTCTTATTCTTGGTTCTTTCGGTAAAGTCACGTAGAAGGGAAACAATAAAATAATATTTTTTTTCTTCTTGGTTCTTTCGGTAAAGTCACGTAGAATGGAAATAAAATAATAAAATTCTCACGACGTTTCGGCCACAACACAAGTGGCCTTCTACGTGACTTTACCGAAAGAACCAAGAATAAGAAACCCTACAGTCACGAAAGCTTTAAATCGAAATATATTTTTTGTTTCCCTTCTACGTGACTTTAAATATTTTATTGTTTCCCTTCTACGTGACGTTACCGAAAGAACCAAGAATACTAACCCACAGTAATTAAGCTTCGTTGTAGAGAATGTCAAGATAACGCCTTCTTCCCAGATCTGTCTTCTGGAAGGTGTGACCGATGAGTTGTCAAACTATGGTCATGTGCAAAGACCACTGGTATGGAAAGGATGCGTTACGTTAAGAGGAAGTGGGAATCGACGAGACGTTGCTAGAAGAGGGGGGGGGGGGGCAGCCAAGGAATTGGAACTCTGAGCGGACGTCGACAGAGGAAGACGGTCGGATTGCGGGCACCCGCTGGGTGGGTTATATCGTGGGGTGGTTTGAAGTTAGTGGCTTCGGCGACCTTCATACAGCGGTGGATTAACCATGGCTACGCGTCCTGTTACATTGTAGAGTGTATGGATTTTGTTGTATATTATGACGACGTGATGAGTATAGTATAATAGCGCATTGACCGTATCATTTTTTGGGTTCGGCCACCACGTCGTTTGCCAAAATAGTCAACCCTCCGCAACCCTACAATAACCCGAAAACAAATACTCGTCATTGCATTGGCTACGAAACCTTGCATTTTAAAACAACACCATCGTCTTAGATCCCACGCACCGTAAACTCAACAACAGTCCCCTGCACGTGTCACGAACTGTCCCAGTAAACACGTGCCCGCACGTGCGGGAAGACGCGCGTTTATTTTGTGGGCGTGGCCTCTTACGCGCTGACGGAAGTGACGCCGGGGCCGTAACCCTTGCCTTGTGATAGGGCGATTCCGGGGATGGGCGTGGCGCGTGGGTGGTGGGGGGCTGGGCCGGTGGCGGGAGCGATACGTTCCCCTTGCCTTGTGATAGGGCGATTCCGGGTGTGGGCGTGGCGCTTGGGTCCGTGGGGGGCTGGGCTGGTGGCGGAGTGATACGTTCCCCATAGGCCCCTCCGAACCAACAAGTGAAGCGGCACCCCCCCCCCACCTCCACCACCTCATGGCGCCGCATCGCAGTCGCGCGCTTGTTTCGGTGTCGCTGCGCCGCGTGCGCACTTGATTCGCTTGGGGGGGTTTTGGGGGGGTTGCCGTGAAAACGAAACAATTGTGATTAAACATTAAAGAACGAGAAAAGTTTGGTGGGGTTTTTTTTTTAATTTGACGCTTCGGTCAACACCGAGCGAGTGAGGACGAGTTTCCAGCTCTTCCACGACTGTCGGTGAGTGTGTGGATTTTGTTGTTGTTTTTATCTGTGCGCTGTGGGTGTTTTGGTGGTGGTGGTGTTGTTAATAAAGGCTGAGGATGTACCCTTACTAATTTACTTACCACGTGTTGTGCCTTAAGCGTGGCGACGCATTGTTCAATCGTTAGCATTGTAAAGGGTGACAAAACGCAACAAAGTTCGCATTTATTACTTCGACATCTATGGGGGGGGGGTCTGCGCTCTTACAGCCTTCAACAAGCACGCACTAATGACCGGCGTGGTGAAGTATGGTCAAACCATCGCCTCCACATCGACCCTCCCTCACGGTGTGATGAGACCCCCCCCACCACCACCTCGCACACCCGTCCAGCAGTGGATTGACATCTTATAGCTGTGTGTCTTAATGTTAAGTTTAACACGTAGGAGGGGGGGGGGGTGGCTGGCTGTAATGATCAAACTTGTCAATCCACACGGTTCAACCTGTAGTATTGTGCAGGGACATTGAGTGTGCATGTCCATACGGCGTTCAGCCCTTTCAATGCGGGCTAAACATTGGTGGTGGTGGGGGGTGGGGGTGTTGGTCTATTTGTGTTTCTACCTCGTGATGTGACTTTTGCAGGGTGAACGTTGAGATTTATAAGGGTCACGGGGTGACCAATAAGGTCTGAATCTGTCCGTAATAAGGTAGGGCACTGATAAGGGATTGGACATTGTTTTTCTATTATAAAAACGCCTTTGTGCGGCATTGCACTTGCGCGTGTCGCAGCAGCACTTCAACGTGGTGCAATGGGGTCGAGAAATATACGAACCCTGATCGATGTGCACACACACAAGGACGGTTGTCCTTTGGATGTAACCTACCAGGTATGTTGCGGGATGTGACTGAACCCGGTCATGGCAATGTGGAATGTTTCTCCTCTGATTGGGCAGGCAGACTTGACTTTATACCAAGCGGGCGTTGGGGGCGCTCATCCAGCAGTGGATGAAGGCGGATATGTATTTGTGTGCAACATGGAATTAGTGGTTCTTGTGTGCCACCGTTCCCTCACATTACCTCTCATTGCTCTGTACAATCCTCCCCATGTATCTACTCTCCGCCGCACTCACCAGTATGGTGAAGTAAGGTCAAATCAACCTTACGGCGTGGGGAGGCTGTGGATTGACACGAGGGCTGCGTCTGCTGTCCCGTCTTCTCTCCCCTCATTCACCTCACTCCCATCTCTCCACTGCCATCTTCTCTCTCACTCTCCCAGCTCTCCACTCACTCCCATCTCTCTCCCATCTCTCCCCTTACTCCACTCACACCCATCTCCTCTCACTCGCCCATCTCTCCACTCACTCCCATCTCTCTCCCATCTCTCCACTCCCATCTCTCCACTCCCATCTCTCACTCTCCCATATCTCCACTCACTCCCATCTCTCTCCCATCTCTCCACTCCCATCTCTCCACTCCCATCTTCTCCTCTCCCATCTCTCCACTCCCATCTCTCTCTCCAATCACTCCAATCACTCCCATCTCTCTCCCATCTCTCCCCTCACTCCCATCTCTCCACTCCCATCTCTCCACTCCCATCTCCTCCCATCTCTCTCACTCTCCCATCTCTCCACTCACTCCCATCTCTCCACTCCCATCTCCTCCCATCTCTCCACTCACTCCCATCTTCTCCCATCTCTCCATCTCCCATCTCTCCACTCACTCCCATCTCTCTCCCATCTCTCCCCTCACTCCCATCTCTCTCACTCTCCCATCTCTCCCCTCACTCCCACCTCCCATCTCTCTCACTCTCCCATCTCTCCACTCAGTGCCATCTCTCTCCCATCTCTCCCCTCACTCCCATCTCTTCCTCTCACCCATCTCTCAACTCACTCCCATCTCTCTCCTCACTCCCTCATCTCCTCTCCCATCACAGGTGAGAGCTCATTGATATTCACGATCTATTCCCGCCTATATCTGAGGATATTCGTAGTCACATTTTGAACACCTTTGACATCACCCAGGGTCGTTAGCATACACCTTTCATCAGGTGGCACGGTTCGATATTGCTTTGTAGAAATTTACTCGGCAGCTGGAGCAAGAATCTTAACTGATCCCTCTGCAAAGTAGCCCACGGAGGGGGTCAGATCACTGACCCACTCTATCCCGGTTTTCCTTTCGCATCTTCCCAGCACTTACTACAGTAGTATACTGCCTTAGAAAAGGACTAAATTGCTCCTCAATTATTAAACCAATTATCCTGAGCGTGGGTTATTATTCAGTGTGAGCTATTGCGCGTGTAATCGGTCATCTGGTAATTAATGTGTGGTTATATTTAATTGTTAATGCTTATTGTTGTGTGTCAGTGTTCCTGTTGATAATTGTTGCTACGTCTCACTCCACCACCACCAAAAAAACAAAGATCCCCCGTATAGCCTGTAACAGACTGTTGGGGCAAGTGCTGTTAGCAAGCACCTATGAAGGCCGACACGAGACACAAGGGGGTGGGTGGCCAGCACCACGCCCGACCGCCTTTGTCTCTGCAGTGGTGATGATTTTACACACCGCAACAGGTACCAATTTGAGGCTAAGTCGACCTAGGGGAGGCCCAGGACCGGTTCAGATCATCTTCACTTGTGTTGGCCGTGAGCGGCGGGAATCGTACTCGGGTCACCGGGTCCGTAGCGCAGCATGCTTACCACTACACTACCGCTCCCCAACCACCACCACCGCACACACACACACGCCATGTGCTGATTGCGCGATGTTGGCTTTTCATGCGCGGAAATTCATGCGGAGAAGCGAATTTATTGTTACAAAAAAAGGAAAGCGGCGTTGGTGGACGGCATCACTCCGGGGGTGGGGGGACGGCAGCTGCGTGCAAGCCACATCCCAAGGACCCCTAAATAAATTAAACCCGTTTTTTTATTTCCATTCGAGAGCCCGTTGGGAGATCGTTTCTGTTTAACGAGAGAGACCTGCATCCAGTAAATGCCAGCCTTTTGTTTACGACAAGCTGAAAAAGCCCATTATTAACAGTCAGGACAACTTAGCTTGCCAGAATTCTGTAGGATGATGACGCACAGGTAATGAGTTCAAGTCCCGGTCAATGTCAGCTTGGCCCCATGAATTGTTTTACTGAGATCCAGCGGTGGATTAATCAATCGTAAGTTATCAAGTTGCTTGTTTTAAGGAATCTACACTAAATTAACTGGTTCTGTAAGAATAATAACTGTTTTTCTTTCACTTGTCATTTGGAGGAAAGAAAGATGTTGACATTTTGACTCCCTGGCTTTCTTCAGGAAGTATTAAGGTTTGGGGGAGTGAGTCAAATAGTCCATGCTTGGTATGTGGCTTTAGATAGCATGTGCATACGCTTTTTATCTGGCCTAAGTATAATTACAAAATGCATTTCGTGGAGCCATGAAGCCTATCAGAGTCGTAACTTGTATCAGGAGTGTCGTGTATTCGGAAATTTGCCAAATTCCATTGTGGGAGGAAACCAACACTTTTTTTGCACGATGGGATAACTCTCTTAAACTGCACACTGATAGATTTAAGAATCCATTGCTGGTCAACCATTTAATGACCACCTCAGCTCAAACGTACAACACTTGGTATGCACAGGCATTCTCACATTAAGTACTCACCAGATTAAACCTTATTCTTGCGAGACCCAATGATATTTGGCGCATTCGTTGTTATTTGGTTGTAGGATTGCGAATGCCTGGTTGTGTGTGTGTTAAAAATGGATCTTCAGTCTGCAGGGATGTAGACAAAAACGATGGATAATAGCTGCTCACCTCTGAACTATAAATGCTCTGATAAGTGGCATTGGCTTTGTACTGTTCACTTTTTGGCCTTCTCTGGTCTGGCACTGGTGGTGATACTAGGCCATAAAGATGGCCGTCTCTGGTGTAGGCCAATCAATTTCAAAGACAATACGTTTATATTATCAGAGCATGTTTTGTGTGCATGTACACCACAGGTACGTGTGGTGAATGCAGACTTGATTCCTTGCAAAAGGTTTATATTTGGTGTTCCAATATTTTAACACAGCTGTTTTATTGCCAGAAAGAGTAAAACAGTCTTACTTATTTTGCAACAACAATAGACTTGGCAGGAGTGGGGTGGGTTTGGCCCTGTGGTTAAGAGGTGGGCTCCACTGTCTGGCTTCGATCTGACAAACTACAGAAGTGAGTAAGGTGTTTCTCAATGTTACACTGAACGTGTTTGTGTGACTTCCGCCCCCGCCCCCCCCTCCGAGTGTGCGTTTCTTTGAAGAATCCCTCGCTCACCTTTTCGGTCTCACACACCACCCTCCCCATCTTCTCGTCGCTGCTGCTCAAAGTCGACCGAGCGTTGAGGACCTCCACGCGTGGAGAGCGCGACGTGGAGCGAAACGGTTGGCGGAACAGATATTTTGTACGAAACTTTCCTCTCTCACTTTAATTTTTACAGCAACCAACCACCCCCTTTTAAGTTTGTGAACCGGCAATTGAACTTTGTTCTCCCAGAAACTCGGTTGTAGTAGCACAGCCACGGCGAGTCGACCTACGTGGGATTTTAAGCGAATTCTGAATTTACAGTCTTAAGAGTACAGTGATACGCCACTTGCAGCCAGACTAAAGCAACATATCAAAGCCACCCAGAGCTATGCACGTGTAAATCTGGATTGAAAACTCATTTCTTGCAACTGCTTTTCATGCTTCATTTGTTGTCCTTCCACCCCCCCCCACACCTACGATTAGCACGGTTGGCTTACTATGGTACAGAAGAAGTTCAACATACCCTAATAGTTACGGGGGGGGGAATCGTCCAAAACCATTCTGAATTGCTCCCTTGTTGATAACTCTCGGAGTGCGTCACAGAACAGTCTGTACGAGTTGCCTGGAAATATTTTGTTTAATATTGACCACACAGGACAATTGTTTTGCAGACGCTTTCTGTAAACACCACGTGTCTCTTTTAAAGACACAATCGCGTCCTTGGTAAGATATCTCTCGCTACGTACTCTCCAGATCTGCTGCCAAATACGTGAATGTTCAGGAACATGGACAACAAAAAATCCATGTTGAATTGAACCAAAAAAAAAAATGGCAACACGCACTGGCAAAGTGTTGTGTCCGCGTGCTCGGGAGGTGAAGTCTCTGCCACGGTGGTGTCATTCACAATGGATGAATTCCCGAAAGCGAAGATAACTTTCGCCCCATGCTCTGTCAGCCTAGGGCGTGTAACGCCAAACCGCGGGTGCACATCAGGGGGGAAAGACAGGTTTTTTGTTGCATGGCAAACGGCAAGCCAGCACGTGGAATTACGTCCTGTTTCTATACTTACACTAGGCAAGTGCATTGTAATACAAAGCAGAGCTGCCTTGTCACCATTTTTTTTTATTCGACAGCCCCATGCTTTTTTTTATTTAAAGACACAGAGGGCTCCTTATATTAAGCCTGGTTGTACTGTCCAGGGCAAGTGTTGTTTACGAGCCCCGACTGATAGCAGCGGCAGGAGGACCACTCACGTGATGAAGTGGCGGGGTCAAGCATCGCGCATCGTACAAAGCAAAGTTGAGTCCTTCCAACTGTTTGGGGCAAGCGCTGTCAGCGAGCACCCATTAAGGTCTGGCATGGCATTTCATGGTTTGGGAGGGGGGGGGGGCACCCACACGCTTGGACCGCCTTTGTTGATGTTTTTCCATCACAGCAAGAATTTGTTTGAGGCCGAGTTGAACTAGATGAGGGCCATGATAAGTTTAGAATCAACTTGCCACTTAAATTATCCACGGATAGATATTAAACCCAGGTCTACCATTGTCTACATGTACTCACAGACCCGGACACCTGTGTCTTTCCAGCACCAGTATTATTATACCGTCAAGGTTAGTCTGCATCTTTCGGGTTGTAGCGATGCATCGACTCATATTGAACGTTACGCTAGCGGTACATTTATCGAGTCATGTGTGCCTCTAAGCATTGGTGATTTTCGATTCAGTGGATTCACGTAATCCCCTACAGCAACTAGCGGCTGCTCAATTTCACCACGATGTTAAAAAACATCGATTCCGAATTATGACAATTAATTGAATTGCCAATTTTTGTGGTTTGACTATGGGTGAAAATTGTGAGACCTCAATCATTAACAGCTCTTTGTCAATTCGCTGCTGGATGCAAGTGTCCCCACACCGAAGCGGTAATGAGGCTTGGTTAAGCATACCACGCTCGTCAGTGTGGGGCTCGGTGACGAGGGGGATGGATGTGCGATGCGAGATCCAAGACCCGGAGGACCAGTACAGTACTGGCATCACTCGCCACCGATAGCTTAGGAAGAATTGGACTCGGGTGGCCCGGTTTGCAGTGCTGTACTTATCGCAGTGTGATAACTAACCTCTGCACCCAACCCTCGTTAGACCGCTCGTGACTATGCGAGACGATTAGAGAACATTCGCGGGCATTCCGGGGAGAGAAAAAAACAACATATGGACGCATCGAGAGCAGAGGAAAAAAACCCAGCACACAACGCATCTCAAGCAGTGAGCCCCCCCCCACACCATCCCATTGCATTGGCGTTGTCCGGGGCGACAAGCGAAGCAGCTCATTTTACATCCCTCCCCATTCACTTCCTGCTGGTTGGGTCAGTGGGTGGGGTGCCCACCACCATCATCTCTTCCCCACACCTCGGCGATCTCCCCGCCTCGTGCCACCTGCCCCCTTTAACATGGCAGGCGTGCTCAGCGCCAGCAGCCTTTGGCCAGCCGCTACGGCGTGGGAGATTGCGTGACAATTCAACAGTCCCCATCCCCCGTGTGCCAGCCACGGTGGCAAGGTCGGCGAGTGAGGTTACTTGCACAGAGCCGCCGTCCGCCCGTCTGAAGTGCACGATGATTATTGAAGCCCTCTGCCTCGTTCTTCCGATTCCTTTTCGTACGGCCGCTGACGTAGATACAGAGCAACGACGACAATTTCACATTTAGGTGGGTCAAGTCGGATAACCGCATCGGGAGCAGCGGGAGTGCAATCGCGCTGCGATGTCTCCTTCATATGTGTGGATCTAGGCGCATTGCTTCGTTGCATGTTGCACGGTCTGTTCGGGATGACCACAGTCTCGCACTCCTGGAGAATTGTTTTAATTTTCCATTTGTGCATCAGGTGTCCGCCATCTACTGCCAATGTTTGTGCAGTGGATACGATTTAGGGTGGACCATGTGGAAGATCAAACCCAGGGATCTTCTGCGTTGGGTCTCCACTCTACCACCTCGTATATTTCTGTCCCTTGAATGCTCTCTATGCTGCTCGTATGTTATAGTATTGTCATCAGTATGGCATGAGTATACCAAGTTTGCAGTCGATACCACATTGGGAAGTGGGTTAAAATTGAGTTACAAGATTTGAGGATACAACAACAGAGTTCATAGAAGGCGTGTAATAATAATAATGACTGCATCACGGACACTATGCGAGAGCCGGGGTACTACTTACTACTCTGGTTACCCCGGGGGTTACGGCCATCAGGTTCGTATCTTGCACGGCTCCCCGTGCCTCCGTTCAGCATTGCCCAGTTTCACCAACGTGGTGAAATGCGTTGAAACAACCGTCACGACTGGCACAGCACTGCAGAGGCGTCCATCCAGCAGTGGATTGATGAGAGGCATGAAGGTTTCAATCGATGTTTGAAACCGAGCCCAATTTTTTTGCGTACGTTCAATTGAAAAATGTGGCAGTAGAATGATGTCCGTCTTTGGGAATATTGTTTTTGTTAATAGGTAAAGGAAAGTGGGCGTTTGCCGGCCGTTTTGAGAAAGTGTGCTAGTTGCAGATTTGGTTAATCTGTCTTGTTGGCCCGAGTTCTAAGCGTGTGTGAGGCTCTAAAAGAGCCAGGGATATTTTTTATGTCATTTACAGAATTGTGTTTTGCTGCATGGCACTGTAGTTTTGCAGTTGTTTTTTAGTTGTCCAGGACGCAGACTGGACATGAGTCCTGGATTCACTGGGGGGCCGTATAATATACGATGCTACTTTTCCTACATCAATCAAGCCCCTTATCCTTAATAGTCGGGCCAAATATGCTATCCCCGAAACGTAGCATGTCATATTTTGCGTAGTCAGTAAGGGTTTTAACACGTTTCATAATCGATTCTTTAAATCGGCGGTTCCCATGCCTTTTTGGGCCCGCAGACTCACTGTTAACCCTCTAAACATGTTGAAGGATCACCATTGCAGTAATAGAATCCAGTGCGTTGTGGAAAAAAATGTCATCTGCGACAGTTCCACCGAACACTTCTTACAGCCTTGCAGAGAGAACGTAGGTTGGAAACGACTGCTTGAGCTAATGATATAATGACACACACACGCCTGCGAATTTGGTGCGAGAATCAATTATTTTCGATTTTTATATGTGACGTGCTGAGTTGACATCACCATAGAATCACTGTAAATGTTGCCATCGCATTTGAACAAAAATCAATTATTTATCGATTCGCCAGCAGGGCTGAAACGGTTTAACCGTGAAATATCGAGACCTCGCAGTAAGTAATGGCTCGGCAGGGGGTCGTGGGGGGGGGTCTGTTGAGCAACAGGCTTCTTTGACCTGAAGGGGATGAGTTCAAACCGTGGTCATGGTCCAACCAGACACATCGTCATCAGAGCCACTAGCATCTTCCCATCAGCGAGGTCAGTACATTGAGTACCAGCTAATGTGAGGTTGCGTCAGAAAAGTTCAGACGTGTGGTGTTGCGTCACGTTGAAGAGAGAATGTTACCTGTCATTCTGTAGACAGTACCTGTCACTTTTAAGTTAATTAATTCTGCCAGCTCTTGATACTGTATGTGGATGCTATGTATATATATGCCACTAGTTGGAAACCCGTTCTTATTCAATATATTTAATGGTAATGAATATTTTTTTTTGCTAAACTTAATTTGTCAATCTAGATTTTGAAGTTTTCGTGACTGCAGGGATCCATACTCTTTGTTTTTTTTCGGTAAGTCAAAGAAGGAGTGTGCGCTCACGGGAATTTCCTTACCGCTCAACCCCTCGACTCGTGAGAAAATGGGGGGGTTCAGCACCCCCCTCCCCATCATGTAGCGTCTTCACACGAGCTGATGTCAGCATTCCATCTACTCTGTCGATGTCCTCTCTGAGACGTTCCGGTTTTTTTTTGGCTAACCGTCGAACAAAGATTGGCCGACTGCATCTCGCGCGCGCTTTCAGATCCGCCTCTGCGGCCGTCTGGAACGCTCTTCCTTCCGATATTAGGAAGCCACTGGAGCTAATATGCACTTTTAAATCTCGATTAAAAACGTATTTCTTTAGAACTGCTTTTTGTCTTTAGTTTGTTGTCCTTCCCCCATACCTCCGATTATCACGGTTTGTCACGTATGGTGCAAAAGAAGTTCAACTTACATACGTCCTTGGCTGCCACTCCTTCAA